CCGTCCTCAAGTTCCTGGTGCGCCCCAACGCCAGTGCCGCGGGGGCCGCTGGGCCCAGCGTCTTCCTGGAGGAGTTTGAGGCCTACCGGCCGGACAGGTGTGCCCACACCGAGGCGGGCAGGGATGCGGGCGCCGGGAGGGCGAGGCCGGGGGGCTCACCACTGGCTCGTCCCCAGGTGTGGATGGCCTGGCGGTGAGACAGGGCCACGGATGCTGAGTCTGGAGCTGGACGCGGCCTCCGGGGCCCTGCTGGCGGCTTTTCCTCGCTGCGTGGTCCGGGTGCCCGTGGCCCGCTGCCAGCAGTACTCGGGCTGCATGAAGTGAGTGCCCCAACCCATCCCGGGCAGGCCGGCCGTGGGCAGGAAGCCGGGAGAGGCGAGCAGGGGGAGGAGGGGACGCCGGGTTCCCCAGCCACCACCCGGGCAGAAGGCACAGCCCGTGCAAAGGCCCCGAGGCAGGGCTGTGCCTGCCGTGTCGGGGGCACGGCAAGGAGGCCTGTGTGACTGGAGCAGAGTGAGGAGGGCGCCAGAGCGGGATGAGACGGAGTCACAGAGGACATGGAGACTGAGTATGCAAGGGAAATCAGGAGGGCTTCTTGGAGGAGGTGACATTGGAACAGAGACCCGGAGAATGGGGGTGGGCAGTCACAGGGAGGCGAGCATTCCGGGCAGAGGGAACAGCCGGGGCAAATGTCCTGAGACATCACCGTGCCTGGTTTGTTCAGCGTGGCTGGAGCAGAGTTAGTGACGGGGGTGGGGACAGAGCAGGGTCATGCGGGGCCTTGTGGGCCGTGGGGAGGACTTGGGCTTTGGCCCTGAGGGAGGTGGGAGCCATGGCGGGCTGTGGGCCGGGAAGGGAGGGCCCTGGCTTGGGAGGACAGACTGGGAGGCGAGGCTGTTCCCCGACCCTAAAATGGGTGGCAGGCTGAGCGCACCCCTGGGCTCCAGGGGAGTCCCCCTGCCCACTGAGATTGCGACAGTGACCCCAAAGCCCGGAGTCAAGGACACAGTCTCTGGCGCGAGCCCGTCTGGGCTCCCGTCCCAGCTCCGCCACGTGGGCAAAAATCAAGTTCCCCGAGCCTCGGTTTGCTGACCAGCAAAATGGGGAGGGGACAGTCGCCATCACAAAATTTTGTCACGAGGATCCCGGCAGTTGCCATCAAGAGACAGGGGTTCAGCCCGGGCAGCATAGCAAGATCCCGTCTCTACCACAGATCAGTAAACTAGCCAGGTGCGGTGGCTCACGCCTATCATCCCAGCCCTTTGGGAGGCCGAGGCAGGAGGCTCGCTTGCTGCCAGGAGTTCGAGACCGGCCTGGGCAGCATAGCAAGACCCCATCTCTGACAAAAGAAATCTTAAAAAGAGGCAGGTGCTCGGAACAGGGCCCGGCGAGTCCTTGTCGGGCTGCAGGGGTCGCCGCGGCTCACAGGCCTCTCTTGGTCCCGTCCGCTCTAGGAGCTGCATCGGCAGTCAGGACCCCTACTGCGGGTGGGCCCCTGACGGCACGTGCATCTTCCTCAGCCCGGGCACCAGGTACAGGGGCGGCCGGGGGGGTGGGCGGGCGGCCTCCGATGGGCTGGAGG